GGCAACTTAGCAAAAACCCTGTCTCAAAAAAGAAACTAAAAAGGGCTGGTGCTGTAGCTCTGTGGTAGAGTATTTCTGGCTTTAATCCCTAGTACTGCAAAAAAGAAAAACCAAAAAAAAAAAAAAAATGTATAGAGAGATGTGACACAATATTGCCCAAAATATAATACAGTTTATGGGCTTCCCTGTTCTTTTCAATGTCTTGGCAGTACTGGTCCAATGCAACATATTTGCATTCAAATAGGTCCAGAGATGTCAAAAGTTGGAATCRTATTTTATATTATGGAAGAAATGTGATAACACATTTATTAACCTTAAAAAGGAAGCAAAYCATACATATGTAGCATCTATAAAGGAAATATAAATTACCAGGAACAGAATACATAGTCAACTTTTAAAAATAAAAACAATCTTTATGTCAAAAGCTTTAGGGAAGAAATAGACTTTCATTTTTATGTTTTTCTGTGGCTTAATTTGAGCTATTTTCAGATACAGCAATAAATACAGAAAAAGTCTACATTGTTCTGCATAACTGATTGTCAGTATGTAAAATTCACTGCTAGGAAGTTCCTGGTGGTTTAACCCTTTCCTCCATCTCTCTGAAGATATTTATAAAACCATCTGCTAGTTTTRTGTATCCACTTATCTCTAACCAGAAAATAATAGTTTATAGAATTTTTGTTAAACATGACTTTCTTTGCAAAGGGCCATCTTTTTTTTTTTTTTTGAGAGAGAGAGAGAGATTTTTTTAATATTTATTTTTCAGCTTTCGGYGGACACAACATCTTTGTTTTGTATGTGATGCTGAGGATGGAACCCGGGCCGCACGCATGCCAGGTGAGGCTTGAGTCACATCCCTAGCCCAACAAAGGGCCATCTTAAAAGTGATATATATTTCAGGCCCCCAGATATATCTGTTAAGTTATTTAAAGAAGTGCTAGGCCACTGACTCAGCAGCAATTAGAGGATATAGTAGTTGATTAATAAAGCCCATTTGTGTCCATTACAGTCTGCACACCATGCAGGAAAAGAAGAATTACTTAGTTTTAATTCTACAAGTAAAAACAACTTGAGAAAAGATAACCAGCACGTAAAAGAGTTCTTCCTTATAATCAAAAAGGATGATTTGTTTTACTAGGTTTCTAGTGAATAGAAATTCTCAGCTCTTATCTCATTGCTGCCCATCATTCACCAAGCACTTTTTTTCCCTATTATTTGTTCTAATTAGTTACAGATGACAGCAGAATGTATTTTGACTCACTGTACACAAATTAAGCACAACTTTTTATTTCTCTGGTTGTACACAATGCAGAGTCACACCATTTGTGTAATCATATWTGTACCTAAGGTAATGATGTCTGTCTCATTTCCCCATCCTTCTTATCACCATACCCCCTCCCCTCCCTGAACTCCCCTCTGCCCAATCCAAAGTTCCTCCATTCTGCCCTTGCCCCCCACCCCCTCGCATTATGGATCAGCATCCACATATAGAGAAAACATTCAGCTTTTGTTTTGGGGGGATTGGATTACCTTGCTTAGCATGATATTCTCCAACTCCAACATTTATCTGCAAATGCCATGATTTCATTGTTTATGGCTGAGCAATATTCCATTGTGTATACATACCGAAATTTCTTTTTCCATTCATCTACTGAATGGTATCTAGGTTGGTTCCATAGTTTAGCTATTGTGAACTGAGCTGCTATAAACATTGATATAAAATCAGCACTGTAGTATGCAGATTTTAAGTCCACATTTTCTAAGGAATCTCTATGTTGCTTTCCAGAGTGGATGCACCAACTTGCAGTCCCACCAGCAATGTATGAGTGTTCCCTTTCCCYCACATCCTCACCAACACTTATTGTAAGCACTGTTTTATTACAATGTTGCCACTCATTAATAAATATGAATAATAGTATGACCAGTTTTCATTTAAGACCCCCAAACAAAAAACCAGGGGCATACGCTTCCCTAGGGTGAAAAGGGATCGACAGGTAGGAAGAATGAGGACAACAGCTGTTTTGAGTCACACCATACTGCAAACCAGGAGGCTGGGTTTCCAAATGACTCTTATCTACCAAACCCATTTTCAGCCTCACCTCACACAGCCACACCTCTTTCTTTGGTGAACTTACTGACAACAGTTAACTTGTCTACTTTTTATTTTATTTTATTTTTTTTTTATTTTTTTATTTTTTTATTTTATTTTTTTTATTGTTGGTCATTCAAAACATTACATAGTTCTTAATACATCATATTTCGGCTGCGCTCACTGTCCCCTTTCCTTGTGAATCGTGAAAAGCGTGAGCAGCTTCTTTTCACAGTGGATCATGTGAAGCACCCGATGGCCCCTCCTGGGGAAAAGTCTGCCTTCAGGAAACAGAACAAGCAGTGACTGTTMCATCGTAATTCTGCTTCAGCGAAATCAAAGAGGTCAAACAAAGAGATGACCATCCCTGGAGAGCCAAAAGTCGGGGCTTGACTCAATAGTGGAAAGATGGAGACGCCCTTGGAGATGCGATCCTCAGCACCAGCAMCAGCAAGCCATTTTACTTTCACACACAGGAGTAACTTAAAATGGGCACTGCAGTGATGCCAGCCAGGATGTGCCCCTTGCGGAAGATACAACAGATGATCAAGGAGGTCCTCCACCTAGAAAGGACAAGGAGGACATGATGGAGGCCCAAAATGTCCTCCAGAGAAGCAGCTCTGACGAAACGTGCCTCAACTTCCTGCTACTTCACCAAAGGAGTTCCTCTCCTCATCAAGCTAAATCATATCTGAGCGTTCTACTTCTTCCTAAGCACCGTTTTGTTCCAAATGTCCAGGTCCCTTCCTGCAGTCCATTAGAGCCTATAAATCAGACAATCCATCTCCCACGTTGTCACTGCCCCACACTTGAAGGTCTCCAGGACGTGCTGAGCACCAAGGTCATCGTGAAGGCCACCAGCCCACAGATCAGCATGAAAGTACAACATTCTGGCAAGTTCTTTGGTTCTTCACTCCTCTCACTTAGGAAACAGGTTAACTGGTTAGAGTCAAGGAGAAAGGAGGGAGGTACTGTTGAGAGCCACAGCCAAAGGGGCCCCAGCAAACTTCCAGCTGCCAGCAAACTTCCAGCTGCCAGCTGATGATTGGCTCACAGAGGCCCCAGCAACATCTAGCTGATTGGCTCCTCTGCGGTGATGCTCATTGGGCTGTTTCCCCGCCCTTTCAGACTGCCAGCTGATGATTGGCTCACAGTGGCCCTAACATCTAGCTGATTGGCTCCTCTGCGGTGATGCTCATTGGGCTGTTTCCCTGCCCTTTCAGACAACGGAGCTGCTCATTGGGGGACTTTTTTGGCTCCGCCCACGTGACCCAGCCAATTGGCCTCAGGCAGGAGGATTGTGGGAGGTGGAGAGTCTGGTGGTTGAGAGAGAGGCTTGTGGGAAGCCGGTGGTGGCATTTGGGCTCTGAGGGTTTTTCCTGAGGAGCTGTTTTGTTTGGCTGTGTGGTTCTAAAAATAAAGTTCGTTTCTTTTGACAAGTGGCTCCTGAATTGTGCCCAGCCAGACTGCAGCAAGGTACCCTAGTTATTTCAACTGCTAAAAYAGCACTGTTTTCCTCACAGGGATCTATCTATATCTCCCTCTCTATCTTTGTATAATACATATCTTTAAAATATATAACATTATTATGTACACATACATATGCCTAAATTAATATGTAAGTATTTTTTTTTTATTGAAGGGAGCATATGTGGCTTAAATAAAAACAGACACATTGACTTTTTAGGATTTGAAGATCTAAAACTAAGACACTGAATGTGCAATTGCTTTTTAGTTTTCACATGTGAAACTTAAAAAAAAAAGTAGCCAGGTATCTGYTAATAAGAATAATTTTTTGCCCCTGATAATTGGGAAGGATACTACAAATTCACTAATTATGAAATGGCTGTTTTAAACAATGAAAGAACTAAGCTGGGTTCTAGTTACATGAGGATATGCTAATACACATCTGCTCATATTTAGATGAATGTGTCCTTTAGAAAGACTTTTGGAAAGATGGTAAATTTTATAAATTAGCACGTTAATTTGGAGAAACACAATGGTGGCCTTTCTGTAAGGTATTTAAAAGGAAACAAAACAAAACAAGTCTAAGAGTTTGACTTGGTGTCTTATTTAGCCAACAGTCCCTGTTTGGGGCTAGTACAATTGATCAAGAAGGGATGCTTGTCATTAAGGGAGGATGAGGAGGGCAGAAAAGTTGAAGTCAGGCTGTATCGAATAGCCCTCTGTTTCCCAAGCAGGAGGGAGGATGTCACAGGGTGTCCCTGCCTCTAGGAGCTCATGCCAASTGTGTCCTTCCACCAAAGGCTCATGGAGTTGCTTCTAAAAGCCATGAAATGGGTACCAGGTGGTCCCCCTACATAGGGGACAATGGCACTCAGTGCTTATTAAAGCTGTTGAACATTAATTTAACTATAGAGAAGAAGGTATGCAGTGAGTACTTCCAGGGGAACTCAAACACAAAAAGCATGTCGACAGCAAGGAACCTGCTCTGGTTACACTCTCCGCCCAAAGTAGGAAGCTAATGATGGAGATAAGAATAGATACATCAGGGCTGGGATGTAGCTCACAGGCAAAGCATCTGCCTTGCATTCCTGAAGCTCTGGGTTTGACCCCCAGTTCCAAACAAAAAGGAATATACACATTAAATATGTTACTGATTAAAATACGTTTGTCATGTATTCCAAGTAACTAACTACCAATTGACTCAACCAAGCATTAAACCTCTCCTTTATCCAGGATCGTCACCACGTTTAAATAAATGGAAATCATCTATAAACTGTATAAAGGTGATTAATTGCCTAATAATGACTCTGAAATACTAAAAATCCATAAATTCCAGAATTAATCTTTTTAAATTAAATTAAAGTTAAAAGCACTTTCATGTGCAACACATATTCTAATCCTCCATAAATAATAAATTAATCTACAGTAAATTAAAAACTTGTTAACCAGGATAATAAACAGATAATTTCTTTCAGTTCTGGATTAATAGTAGTTTATTTGTGTATTTTTCTGTATACTATCACATACAAAGGGTTTTTTAAAAGATGCCCCTACAAACCAAGCTCTACACAGCTTCACATTTACCAAGAAAAAAATTAGAGCCCTAAAATACACGACGGCAATTAATTACAAGAACAAAATGAATAATAATCTGTTCACTTGCAACTATATTTCCACACATTTTCATTAACTACTCTAATTTCTAAGGCTGAGCTATATTTGCATTTTTAAAAAGAAAGATTGAATCCATAATAATTGAACGTTATCTATACAGGTCACAAAACAATAATGCATATCCTATAGTTATTCTCATTTTACTTAAGGCTTATATTGTAAATGTCAGAGTAATGCCTTAAAAAAATCTAAAGCATACTTTAAGCCACTTTTATCTATAAGGATATACTGCTRTTTTGGAAATTTTGGTGTATTTAATTTTCATGTCATTATTCTTCAGGGTGCTCAGGCTTTAGGGCAACAGAACCACAGATGGCYATTTATAAGGACAGGTTCAGTCCTGTCACTGGATCCAGACCGACCAAGACAGCACAGATTCAGTGTTGAATGGCAGCATCTTTCTGATATTTTTCCCCCCTCAAATCAGGAAAAAAGAAAAAAGGAGAGATTTTTAATCGAATATGACCTTTAATGATCCTCTAGCTTTTCTACAATAGTTGGGATGTTACATTTTCAAAAGTTCATGCTGAACACAAACTGGGATGGTCTGGATGTCAGGTGTGCCCYAAAAGCTCATGTGTGAGACAATGCAAGAAGGATCAGAGGAGAAACAAATGGGTTGTAACAGCCTTAACCCAGTCAGTGAATTAATCCCCCCAATGGGATTAACTGAGAGGTATCTGGAGGCAGGTAGGGTGTGGCTGGAGGAGGTGGTGCATTGGGGGTATGGCTTTGGGGTATATATTTAGTGAGCTTAGCTTAGTCTCTGCTTCCTGATCATCATGTGAGCTGCTTCCCTCTGCCACCCTCTTCCACCACAATGTTCAGCCTCACCTGGAGCCCTCAGGAATGGAGACAGCTGTCTATGGACTGAGACTTCTGAAACTGAGAGCCCCCAAATAAACCTTTCCTCCTCTACAACTGTTCTTGTCAGTCTCTTAGTCATAACAGCAAAAAGCTGACTAAAATACAGATTAAATTTGACTACAGATTTTTTTTTTCAAGTCTTTTTTGTAGGTGTTTAGAAGCAGGCTAATTTCAGCCTTAGGGATCAGTTATATCAGATAAATGACTGGTTTGGGGATGGCGAGTTGGGCTAAAATGTCCAGAATAAAATGACAGAAGATAGGAGAAAAGTCATAATTTCTTCTGACCCTGAACCAAGGAGGGAGGAGTTGGGAACAGCTAGGTGTTAGGAAGGGKTTTCCACAGCCCCTTTATCCTGAAGGAAGATTTGAGGTACTGTGATCCTGTGATTTTTCAGCTGGCTGGTTCTCCCCCTCTTTTTCTCTTAGAGATTATCATCTCACTAGAGTAAACTCTTCTAAATAATAGAACGATGCTTTCCTACTATTCTCTACTGATTTTATAAATACGCTGCTTAACAATGTTGCTCATAACACTTGYAATTCTTTGCAGTCACAGAAGAGTAATATATTCTGATCTTAATGCGTCTGGTGAATTTCTTGAGTGCCATGAATATTCAACTAATTTAATATCTTAAAAAATACTCTAAACAAAATTGGTAAAAGCACCTTTGAAAATGTCAAGTAAAACTAATCTTTTTTTTTTTTTTTTTTTTGGTGCTGGGGATGGAACCCAAGGCAAGCACTCTACCAACTGAGCTATAGCCCCAGTTCACCACATGTAATTTTTAACAAAATATTTTGAAATGCTACATGTTAACCGCCAACAATAGGACAATGATACATGATAATTTTTAAAAATGGCATAGTTATGAACACCATAAAAATCAAAGTTTACTATTTCAGAAAAATCAGAGTCTACTTACTACTTATATGTCTCAGAACGAATATATTCGAACACATGGGACACGCCAAGCTGGAACTGGTCAGCAATTGGGGTAACCCAGGGATTGTTCTCTGCTTTGAATACTTGCTTCTGACCAGTTAAATCCAAGTTTCCTGAAAAGATGAAAAGGAAATGAAAAAGGTGAAAAAGGTGAAGGTCACTTAATTCAACACAGATCCATCTAAGGAGTTACGCTCAGCAATCACAGCATAGCCCGAAGTACTTTAATGGATCAAAAAACCATTTTTGAGTTTTTAAACATTTTTACCCTAAGTCATCACTGGGACCCAATGAATGCCAGTGATTATCCCCTGGTTCAAAAAATTAAAACCAAATGAAGGAAGGAAGAAGAAAGGAAGGATGGGTGAGCAAGTGGAGAGCAGGAGGGTTCGGAAAGAAACAAACCTGGAAGGAATTCTTGACAATGAAGCATACGCCTCATTTTTCTGGTACCTGCTAGAGACTTGTTCAAGTTTGAGAGAAGTGATATTAAAACCTCCTTAAATTCTACCTTGACAACGTCAATGTGCATCTCTACTTGTCCTTTTGGATCTAAACCAAATCTGATCAACACCACTTTTTTCATCAAGCAAAGGAGAATACATGCGAAGTAAGACAAGAATGTTAACAAGGAAAATTATTATTGTTTTATTCAATTAGCATAAGCACATCTCAGAATGAGACCTAAATGAATCTCATTAACATAGTAATGATGGAGACTAACATTTGTATAGCTCTAATCAGTTTACAAATTGCATTTTAAAAATCATTTCCTCATTTAATTCTCTAGTAATCTCCAAGGTCAGTTATTAACATCACTTTATAAGTAAAGAAATGGAAACTTGAGGAAATTAACTAGTATGTCCAAGATCAGAAAACCTGAACCTGACTCCAGACCTTGTTTTCTATCTACAGGATCTGTGAAGCAATCAGGTTGCAGGTCGATCTAGATCAATAAACATGAGTCCATGAAGGTAGCATAGAAATCAGCAAGCACCAGCTCCTTCTGATATCACCTGTTGATAGTCAGTTCACTCTCCTTCTTTCTTCCTTTCTCATGCATTCCAAAACATTAAAAGCAATGGGTGAAAAACCATCCTATCATGTGCTTGCCTATGAGTGAAAGAAAGACAGACAGGAACAGAGAAGTTAAGTAGTAAAGATGCATGTGGCTCTACACAGCTGCAGCTTGACACCGTAAGGCCTTTTACTGGACAAGTCCATTTTCAGCTTTCTGGTTCAAGCCCAAGACTCCCAGGGCTATTTGAAGACAGATATTCAGCAATCTTTCTTCTTAGGATACCACCAAAGTGGCATGTTTGTCCTGATCTGAGGCTCTACTGCCTATTTTATCCTAAGTCAGTATAATGAAAACATATTCTGGGACATACCTAGACCACGACACAAATCATTTCCTAGCTGATACGAGCTTTGGGAATGAAAGGATAAATGAAAACTTTTACTAGGAAGATGATGTAATATTTCTTCTTAAAACAATAGAAATGTACTTTCAATCTTTTTTCTCTTTGTTATATGCAATCGTAACTGTTCAGAAATATGGAGAAAGAAAAGAAAAAATGATTACAATTTCACAAAACGCTCTTTTTTTAAAAAAAACATATTACTGAGTATTAAGAGAGCAATTCATCATGCTCTTTCCAAAGAAATAAAGAAATGCCTGGTGTTGAGTACGAAAATAGGCAGATGCATTTCTCTCCAATATTACTGATACTGTMAATTTCCTCATTTTAATGGCTAAACATCATTAGTCAAATATTAAGTCACTTGGGAAATTAATGAGCCTGATTCTCTGAGCCCCGAGTTCAAAAGCTGCCTGGGGTTAATCAAAATCCAAGGAGTACGTATATTTTGCTTAGTTGGGTATCTTTCCTGGGATGGATCTTGTTGGCAAGGGACTGCTATTTATTTTTTGTTTTTATCTTTACTTGGGGATGAGGGTTCTTAGCTTTCCAAGAGAGATACTGATACCATTTCCATTTCTCTATATTTCTTATTTCCTCTTAGGAGATCTAATCTGTGGTATGCCTGTGTCCTCTCTTTTACATCACTTCTTCATTATTTCTTTTTCTCCAACTTCCCCTTTTACTAAAAATGAGGATAGTATAAATTTCTGATAAAAGTCATCTATTTAAAGACAAGTCTGTATTTTTKGGGGGAGGTGGAAGAGTACTGGGGATTGAACTCGGGGGTACTTGACCACTGAGCCACATCTCCAGGTCTATTTTGTATTTTATTCAGAGACAGGGTCTCACTGACTTACTTAGGGCTTGTTTTTGCTGAGATTGGCCTTGAATTTGAGATTTTCCTGCCTCAGCCTCCTGAGCCACTGGGATTACAGGCATGCACCACCTTGTCCAGAACAAGTCTGTATTTCTGACATGTCATATTTTCCACACATAAGGTATACGTTACCCTCTGTACTTAGGATGCAYGGCCACTGAGGGGAGAGAGGCTATGCGCCAGGCAACAGTAACCATGGTGCAGTGATTCACTAATAAGCTGGGGATGAGGGGCTACAATTAATCAAACTTCTCTCAAAACATCTCCCTAAGATACAAAGTATGCTTATATATTATGGTTGTCCTATCTCTAAGCCCTGCCCATTGAATCAACATGGAATCAACTACGAAACAAACAATAATCCCCTAGAAAAATGTATATTCCAAGTGTATGAGAAAAAAAAAAGAAAAACCATGAAAAGCATGAACTGTAAATTCATGTGATGTGGAAGTGAACTAACTCCTAAGCAAAGGGGTTCTCCCTCTGATAGCTGTACTTCCCTAAATCTTTTTCCTCCTCATTCCCCAATACTGTTTATTCTACTGAGAAATACAGTCTAAATTTCTAGTTGGTAGGATCTGTTGAACAAGCACCCAGGATTTTCCATCATTCATAGTTACCATGAATTAATTAATTCAGCTGCATGGCTTCCCTGTATGTGGTTCAGATGGGGATGGCAGGAGTAAGATTTTTTTGTTTCTCTTTATAACTTTAGGGAGAAGAGGGAAGGTAGCTATGTTTGGAATACAAAGCATTTTTGGCCATGCTGTATTTTTAGGACCCTTAGTCAGTGCGAGAGCAACGTGGACCAGGGTTAAGGTCTGGGAAAGATGCCATGGACAAGCCTTAGCTATTCCAAATGCAATCCGGGATGACTTATCAGGACAGTGAGGGAAAAATTCTCTTCTTCCCCTGGGCTGTATCACAAGCTCCCTTCTCCCCATTTCCAGGCCTGCCCTAATAATCCAAAGTACAGGTACAACCTGAGCTGGACAGGTTTCAGTGGGCCATCCTAGAACTTTAGGTTCCAGTGGGTACTTCTGTAAGAAAGCAGAGCTCACCTTCTACTACCACCAACCTACAAGCCCACATCAGCCAGAGTGTACACAGCCTCTTGTTAACTGCTTAACAGCTTCTTTCTAAATGTGAAGTCTTTTTAATGGTAATCCTCTAAAAATAATGCACCAAAGTTCTATGCTCCCTGACTGCCACACATGGAAGACAGACCTAGGGAAATTATGCCAAGAAAGGTCAGCCGTGACCTTCTGTCTGAAGCCTCTAAACCCCTGGAGATCTGTCAGTCCCAAGTGATGTCTCTATTTAGTGCTGTCAGCAGAGACAGGAGAGGCGGAGGGGACTGCTAATGACTTCTGCTAACTGAAGCACATAGGAGACACTGGATGTGAGCTAGACACACTGCCTTCAGGGAAAAGGAGTCTGAAAGTCAGGGAAAACAGTAAGGACCATGGGCTATTCATGAGCATCTTCATTTCCATCACTTCAAACCTACATGCATATTCTGGCTGGGGGTATATGCGGGGGTTCTGGGTTACCCTATCCCACCCATGTTCATTTGTCTATTTTAATATCAAACAATACTAAATCAAATAGCTAGGTGCTTCATGGTGCTGCATGAACTGGGGAGCCTAAAAGAAAAGAATGATTCAGGTTCACTGGAAACTAAAATAGAAAACAACAGCTTCTTTTTGGATGAGCTTGGTTCTTTTTAACAAACCATCATGAAAACCACGTTTAACATCCTCAGCCAACCTTCAAGGAAGGCTCAAGCAATCTACACGAGCCTAACCAAGCAATGCCTCTGCAGAGTTATAATGGGGGCTCGGCACGATCGAACGTGCTTCTTTTGTTTTTCAACTTAATGTCACTGGTGGATAACATGACTCCTGCTTCTGCGTAGCTGTAATCCTCCCAGCGAGCTATTTGTCTCTGGATTCTCTTACCCCACTCTGCGCCAGCCTGGCATGCGGCAATTTCAGAAGAGGGTTAATATAATTAGAGTAAAGCTAGGCCATTATACTATGTGAAAAGATGACACCCGTCTCATCTTGGCCTAGCAACAAGTTACCATTGCCTCAGCAAAGCTCGTCTGTCAGCTGTCTGGGTAGGTTCCCTTTTAAGTAATAACATGCAGGAAGCATCTCACCCCGCTGTCAGTCAGCCAGCAATCGTCCTRGCGGTGCACGCTTCAGTGCGTAGAGTGAGGAGCCCTCACCCATCCCCTTTATTAGAAGGCTGAGCAGCGCTCTGGTGGTGTTGTAACAAGGATCAGGCAGCAGGATTAAGCACTGTGACAAAGAGGATCTAATAAGCTAGAAAGTGGTGCATCTACAGACACGCTGACTGGCTCCCAGACACAGATTCACTTTGCTCACTCCTCAGTCGGAAGGCGAAGGCCACTGGGGAAGCCAGGCAGCRCCGTGATTAGCGGTGACCCTCTGACCGATGCTGCTATGAAGATCATATATCACTCAGAGGCTTATTCTGCAATTGCAAATTGGATTTTCCATTTTATTACCTGCAAAAGAACCACATATGCTTCTTTCCCAAGYCTCTAGTAGAGCAAGCTTGGCCGCGCAATGGTAATTGTGTAAACACTAAATCATGCAAAACAATCATTCTCCCTGCTAGTTATAAATGTGATTGAATGCAATAGGCAATTGCGGCCCCATTAATAAGCATGCTCATWTTCACTTATGGAAATTGGTTGTTTCCATAATCACACTGTAAGAATTCTTCCTGGGTACTCGAAATCCTGAAACATGTGGCCAGAAGCATCATTTATCACACAGTA